CCAGTGCCTCTTCTTAGTCACATTCCCGAAACGCAACAACCTGGGTATCACAATACACCTACAATTTCCTCTCACAAGTATCCAACTTCAGGAACATTCTTCGTCCTGCCTCGTGGCCCACACTACCATGCACGATCGGCGGCACTCTCCCACACCCGAAGCCTGGTTTTCTTAAGACAACACTGCGGAGGACCTTACTTTGACATAGAGGCGATATGGGAGGAGCATATGCATTTCGAATTTGAGACAAGGAGTCTCGCCAAGACAATGGGGACAATGGTGGTACGTCTGCTTTATCTAGAGATACGTACAGCACGTATTCTCCCTGTAGGCAGAACCTTATGTTAACCATGTGCCAACGGTTAGCAGTCAACGGAGACGACATTTTTAGATCGTTGACCATAGTTAATTGGTAGATGACCGGCGGAACGGGGCGGAAAGAACTTTCGGCCTTCTATCGAGATCATTTCATCTTCTCGTTCGTCCTTTGATTAATCTACCAAGATAAACTCATTCAGAGTTCATAGAAACCCAACCGATATCGCTTTCGAGCCGGTTTCGCGAACAGTCGGCGCTGATAGAATCATTGGTTAGTCCGACTCGAACTGCTCACTTGTTGTACTGATATATCGATATCCCCACCGCCTTGCAGACGAATACATCCTCACTATGACTCACGACAGAATCGTAGATTGCATCCTTCCTGGCGTACCTCCTTCCGGACGAAAGGTAGCTATCCCCATGATAAGTGTTGTCAACGTGCGTGGAGACCGTCTCCATCATGAACATATTTGGTGGGACCAAGCTGGGGCTCTTAAGCAAGTAGGCGTCATTCCAACGCATACGCCTTATCCGCTACCGGACGGGAAGCAGCGCCTTTGTCTCCCTATTGCTGGGGCAGAAACAGCTAGGCTGTTGGCCGATGAAACAGATGGAAGAAGCAACGAAATGCTGGGGGAGGACTGGGGAGTCAGTAGTGTTTGATCACTGTCGTATTTGGGATTTGTCCAGATCACAACACCGAGTAAGCATCGTTCAATGATTAGGGATTCGTTTTAGATACAGAGTCACATAAGAGGCCACTCGGCATATGAAGCTAACGGGAAGGCCACTGGAATTGAAACGAGTGGTTGACAAAAAGCATGAGAAATTATACCTTTCCCTTTGGAGGGTCATCCTCGTCCGTTGCTGTCTCGACACTGGGAGCATAGGGAGATTTCGTCTTAGATTTAGTAGTTTTCGTTGAACGCAGAGAACCTGCGCGGGAATGCATAGGGACACCGGGGCGATCGTTCATTGTCGATTCAGGTAGAGCACTACTGCTGGCAAGATAAGCCGGATCAACGTAAGTACTTGCGTCAAATTTCTTGTATGAGGAAGCTAGGGAAGTAGAAGAGACCTTTTTATTGGGACCTGCGTCACCAGAGTAGAGGGACATAGGTCGTCCTAGTGTTGCAGACATTGATGGTCCAGGTGCGCCGTCCGCCAAGCTATTGCCCCAGTCTAGGAACGGTGTCTGCGACGTGGATCCTCGCGGGCTACCGGCAACAGACTCAGGAAGGGGCATACGGGCGGGTGTCGACGGGTACTTGAAATTCTGAGGTAGGGTGGCGGCCTCATACATTGGCGCTGTAGCACGGGGTAAGTCCTGGTACGAGCTTCTTCCTGACCCCCTTGGTACGGGTGACGTATCGTTAGGTAAACCCCGGAATGTCGTGGCAGTACTGAGTGGCAGGGGAATGCCAGAAGGTGTATGACCCTGGAAACCAGAAGGAAGCCCCAGTGACGGTAATGTCGCTCGGTTCACGTGCGGCGTCCTGAAGGCAGGTAAACCCCGGACTGTCGTGGCAGTACTGAGTGGCAGGGGAATGCCAGAGGGTGTGTGACCCTGGAAACCAGAAGGAAGCCCCAGTGACGGCAATGTCGCTGGGTTCAGGTGCGGCGTCCTCGAGGGCAAGCCAGGAGCGCCTAGTCCAGGGGTCTTAGGTAGAGCTCCAGAAGAGAAGGCTTCTAAAATTTCGGGGGGACCTTGCGTAGGTATAAACCCAGGTGGTAAACCAAAGTCGCCAGAGGCTGGTGTGTTGAGACTCATGGGAATCTGCCCCACTGTATGAGGGAGAGGCACCCGGGATGGTGTCATGGGAGGACCTTGTGTAGGCACAAAGCCGGGGGGGAGGTCCATGTCTGCGGAGTGAGGGGTTCCGAGACTCATAGGGACGTGACCGGACGTAAGCGGCAATGGTATTCTGGAAGGCGACAAAGGAGAACCTTGAACGGAATGGCGACGAGACGGTGGACGAGACGGTGGACGAAACGGCACGGGACTTGTGGGCGCAGGCCCCATCGATTCTGAGCTCACGCGATTTCCGATGGCGCTGGCTTTCGAGCCTTTGGATGAAGGGCGAGACTGGTGGTTTCAAGAGTGACTTAAATGAGGGACATAAAAACAACGTATGAAATATCAATCTACCGGAGGCTGAATGGTAATCTCAGGAACTGTCGTGGCCGTGGACATTCTGCGGTGACTCTTGGTAAATTCGCGAGCGGGAACAGCGCCATCTTCGGGTGAAGATTGAGAATCGAAAGTAGGGAAGGCTCGCCCCGTGCCGAACGCGTCGTACATTTCTGCCTGTTTCTCGAGCACTGCCACATCTCTGCTAGCGGCCAGACGCTCGGGCATTGTCGGGTTAGGTCGCCTGCGGGGGCCACTTGCCCTAGTCGTCGAGGACCTGATAGAAACCTAGCACGAATGTCTCATTCTGGAACCTGTGGATACGCGCCAACTATGGAACTCACATCATCTCTTGTACTTCGAGCATGGTCCCTGTTCTCGGCTAAGGGTGAATACCGCAGCTGTTCAGCAACGAGACGGCGGTGAGCAAGTTGTGCCGGTGAGAGGGGGGGTGAAAATTCAGCATATTCTCTTGGATCGTCGAGGATTCCCTGGCTTGGAATCGCTGGAGGACCTCTGGATGGGATATTTCTGGTCGGCGGAACACCCCTAACTTGCGGTGTTGGAAATCGCTCAGGTTCGGGACTTTCTGCAACCGTACTGCCGCCCTCCATGATAATGCTTAACTTGCTGGTGTTACTGCGTCCCAGCCCAAGCCCACGGACACGTTCGGGCTGCTCGACGATCTCGAATTGGGAGAATTCCGTCGAGGTATCAGACGGTGAAGAACGCCCAGGGGCGTGTAATCCAGTACCTGCGCGGGGCGGGCCCATACGCTGACGCTGCTTTCCTTTGTTTGGACGCTCCATTCCCGATGTGGGGAGCGCAGGGAGTGGAGGCGACTCAGCAGGGGCTGGGTGAGGTTCGGGCATCGACATAGGAGGTTCCGGAGGAGTTGGTTCCTGCACGGTAATGGTTGGCGCAGCATTAGCAGTAGGGGTTGTGGGGTGCAAACTCTGCTGCGGTAGATCGTTTACAAGCATCGGGAGAGGGATCGTTGGCGTGTGGGGGCTGGGCGGCGGAAGGTCCACGCCGTGCGGCGGAGGCAGAGAGACGCGGCCATTCTCCTGAAGAGGGATATACCCTTCGGGTAGAGGCGAGTTTGCACTGTGGCGTGGGGTAGACGGTCGATTCTGGACTGGCACGGGAGATATGCGTTCTCGGGAGGCGGATGGGCTGAGCCGAGAGGATGCAGGTCTAGCAATGGGTTCAACGCGCTCAGAGTGGTGCGTTGATGGAGCATCGTGGATGGGATCTGCAGTCACGGTGGGCGGTTTTGGATCCGAGTTGACACGGATATGTGACTTCCAACTCTGCACGACGCTCCCTGATCGCCTGCGACTGATATTGGAGGGTGCGGTACGGAGGGACTGTCTGGGCTCGGAAACGATATCCGGTAAAGGCGCGGCGACAGAACCGGGTCGCGGAGCCGCCGGCCGAGTTACTGTGGATTGGGACGACCTCCGGTGCAGTTGACTCGTCAACGGTGGCGTGAGGGAGCGGGAGTCGATGCTGGCGTCGTCGTAGTATATCATTTCCCTATAGGCCTCCTTGATACCGCGCTGAGTACCAAGGTGCCAACCCTCTTTGCGTCCATCCAAATAGCCTTGGGTCTTGCCCTCCTCCCTACCAAGTTCCCGAGCTCGCTGGATCTCCACCTCCTTGGCGACAGCCCTTGCTCTGCTGCGCTCTCTCGCAGCATCCTGTTCGGCCCGCTCCTTATCGGCAGCCATGCTGTCTAGTTCTCTCTGAGCGCGCAGAATCTCATTTCGTGCTACCTCCAGCTGGGCTTGGTGGGCCTTCAAGGCCTCTTTTTCGCGCTGGGCTTCAGCTTGTGCGAGATGTCTAGCAGCCTGCAGCGCTAAGACGCGGGCATCTGCCTCACGAGCTCTTGTTTCAGCTTCAGCTGCACGACGGCTCTCTTGCTCAAGACGTTCGGCCGTCTGGGAGAGGACTCTGCGCAACCCAACGGCCTCAAACTCATCATGAGCAAGCAAACGGGAGAGCTGGCGCGCTTGGCGCAACGTGGCGTCGGCAGTGACATCTAATTCTCGTTCTTGAGAAGGACGGGAACGATGTCGTCTGTGAGACGATGTTCTGTGGGTCTTTGCTCTGTGAGCCTTGTGGCTGTCGCCATCTGAAAGGAGTTCTGAACGAAGAGAATAAGTGGAGTCAGGCGACGGTTTCTCAAGGATTTTTCGGAACTTAGAGCTGTAGCCATTATTAGTATGATGGCATGTGATAATTAAAACGCACGTACGCCTCATCGCTGAGAACGCTCTGCTCACCAGGCATAGTACGCTAATGAGTGTGATCGGTGATCGTGGTACGGGTACAGGGCTTAGATGCACATACTCAAGAGGTCCGGAATCCGAATGGCGCGTGAGCAACCGTGACGCGCAAGGGTGCGGAAACCACGTTTCCGTGACAGAGGAATGCAGGGAATGCTACTGTATTTATCGATGCCAAAGCTTCCGTAAAACATTCAGACTAGTCACGTGTGCATTGAGCCACTCTTTCTATACGTAATAAAATGAAATGGGATATCGCCTTGCTAGCTCAATCGGTAGAGCGTGAGACTCTTACAAAGCAAGTCTTCACTTGTATCTCAAGGTTGCGGGTTCGACCCCCGCGTGAGGCTACTGGTTTACTTTTTGGAGTTCTTTTACCTCATCTGAGGGGTCATATTTTTCACTCGGTTGTTAAAAGGGGCCATCCTGTTTGATCAAGACGAATAATCATATTCCCAATGTCAGTCCATCCTATTAGGCAACAACCAACGACGCTGTATTTACATAAATGGTTCCTGGCATAATGTACTGACCACTACTACGTTGCCGCTATAAGTACACACAATCGTAATATTTCCCTACAGCTCCATTCTGATGCGGAACGGCGCTTCGGCCTCCCTTCTCATTTCCTCCACACTAACAGACCGAATGTTGCCGTCAGTTCCGAATGATTTCATGCCAGAATATTCGAATGCCGGGACAGGATTGGGGAGACAGTTCTTCGGTTTGACCCCATAATCATCAAAAGTGAACGGGCCCCCCGCATCCTTTGGAGTACTGAGGAGGATGGCGTTGGAAGAATCGATCGAGATATCATAGTTGAAGTAATTAAGGGGAGTGAGAAAGAAACTGACCAGAAAGTAAGTATTCCATTCAAAGTACGCTGAGGACACCTACCTCGAGGTAGCAAGATTGGTGCGAGTATTGGGTGTATCTTCGGCTTGAGGCTTGACATAGCCTCATGAGCGACATTACAAGAGCAGTTGACGGGCCACTCACTAGATGGTGTGTCCCAACATTGATCCATGCTACTAAGTCTTCTTGTGTTATGTCCTCGGAATCAAAAAACTTATGGAAGTCCACCACCGGGGCACCGGGGAGATGCAGATTCCACATATTACTTGATGACGGCTCCGTCTCTTTGCGTCGGGAGACGGCCAGGTTATATCTAAAGACCGCCTAAGCAGGACACAGTACTACCGTTGACTGGAGACGCGCCTTGCCCATTGTGCATTCTTGAGAAGCCTTTTCGATCCCACAACAGCCTATTGGATCGTGTCGTAACACAGGTTCAAAAGAGCCGGCAGGAATACTCACATTGTGAATCGGGTTCATTCCAGCATGGATGGCATAGCCTCGAGGATAACCCCAGCGGTTCTTCGCGTCTTTGTTTACGAACGCATATCCGCCTTGGAGATTTGGAGGATACTTAAGCAGCGCACTATCCTCGTTCGTAATATACTCCCGAGTGATCTTCTGTTGAATGACCGTCTTCCCCCAATCCTCTTCGAGCCACGGACGTTCAACCTCCTCTTGTGATGTGCTTGTATGCAATAGGGAGTTCTCTTGTCCAACAATATCGAGATCCACCTAATTTCTTTGGCCATTAAATATTCCCTGGTTCTCTGGATTGTAGCCCTCACCTTGTAATTTATGATATGGTCGTGGAGGTTACCCACTAGCGCGAAAGCGCCTAAGAACGCCTGCTTTCTCGGACTTGCAAGTACTCACTCGATGTATCATGTATTCTGGCACCATACTCTGCGTGTTGATCATCCCAGAATCCCCCTTGAAGATACCCAGACGCCGACAGTTTAACTTCAATGGTGCCGTCTATTTGAAATATATATTCAAACTTATATGATGTCGAAGGTTAAACCGTGAAGAGCGTTCGTTTGTTTAAACTTACCACTTGAATATTGTAAGAATACGGCAGTCAACTGAGAAAGTGCTTCCTGATGCAGTCGTAGTCACTCACAGTAATCGTAACTGTGTATGCAGATGAGTAACTACTAGTGAGGACATTAAGGCTGTGATCAACGTACTTCCCCACAGTGCTGATGCTACGAATTGTCAAGGCATATCCCTTAACAGCTCCAAACTCTCCTTCCAAATATCCCAGGTGTCGAGTGAGGGGGCGACCTGTATCCTGCTCAAAGACACAGATGGCACGCTCTCGAGTGGAGCTTCCCAGGGCTGTGTGCACAGTTGCTGGAAGGAAGATGGCCTCGTGTGGGCAGTCATAACCGGGGAGCAGGTCACGCGCCAGGGTACCCATGCCAAAGTGAGAATCTAACCAGGCCGTCGTCCCTTGCAAAGGATCATGACCAGCTTTAGAGTAATCAGATACTTCTTACTTGAGAAGCGAGACGTGAAGTACCGTATTGTGAGATAGCTTCTTGAGGCGAAAGCTGATTGCCGGCGAGGTGAGAGGCAAAGGAAATATGGGATGGGAAGATGCGGAACTCACCTCGTATATAATTCTCTCGCCACGTAGCCTGACATCCCAAAGACTCAAGCCCATATCACGATTAAAGCCTAGGTACAAGCCCCATCCCATCCAGCTTATATACTGGAGTTCCCTATCTACTCGGAAACGAAGGCCGGCGAAGGACACTGAGCGTGGACCAGGAAGATGATCTAGATCAGGTGGAGGCCCTACTCGTTTCCTCGAACTCCACGAGTCGTCTTTGCCTTGTTCTGGTGAATGGGGTCGACGTTTCAGAGTGCCATTGTAGAAGGCGTCAAGAAAAGAGTCAACGGTTGGGAATATTTGGTCATTGTATACAATCTACGTCAAAAAGGGGGCAGCCAGCGTATGGGTGCTGGGTATCTCGGTTCGTACTCTGTCACACGAAACGCACCTTGAGCAATTTCCACTGCGAAGGGTCTGCGCCACTTGCTTCGACATACTGATAAAAATCGACTGGATGTAACCACGAGCCTGGGACGTTTCGCTTCCAGGAAATCCACATACGACGAAATGACCCATCAAAGCTAAACGGGGCGCTAGCTGCTGCGACCAGTGTATCATTAGGAAGACCATAAGCCACAGCGCCGAACAGGTCCTGATGGGTAACAATATCAGTGGAACTGATTATAAGATAAAGATAAAGCCGATAATCTCTGACCCGTGTAGCCTCAGCCATCTGGTGCATGAAGCCACCAACTAATTGGCCCAATTCCGTGGCTGGGACTGTGACACGAGCATTATAAGGGATATCGTCGCGATGATAGATACCCTTGAGTTCTGACATCTCGGTTGTAGGGCCCACAGGCAATGGGCCAACTAGATACTCCTTTATAATCGGCTGCGGCGTTGCACCATGATGAATGATGACTTTAGCAAATCGTTTGGGCCTCGGCACTGTAGTTGGAGAATTGAGATAGGCGAGCGACTGGGCCTTGGGAGGTCGATATGCCTCGATGCCAAATATGTGGTTATCGTTTGCAGCTGGATTGACACTAGCAGTGAGATTAAGATATCTACTGGGGGCTCCTAGCCACTTCCTGATTTCGAGGGCTTCTGAAACAGATAGAGACGACCAGAGATTAACAGGTACGGGAGGGGACGCAGCAGCGGGTGCACTGGACACGCATCGTTCCACAGGCTCGATCGTGTAATGCGATCCTAGGGATCTCCAAACCTGCTGGGCATGACTGGATGGGTAATAATAGAGAGCGGTTAGGGTGAGAGTGGTTAACCCGGCAAACAGAGCGACAAAGCGTAGTAGCCGCTTGCCCTTGCGTTCTTGAAAGATGGTACTAGTAGGGGAGTTGTACTGCTTCAAAGCCGTGCCGTCGACCATGTCGTGAGGAAGAGGGCACTGGGAGTCTAGACGGCTTCGAGCGTCCACATAAGTACCTTTGAGAATAATATGCTCACTGATCCGGATGCTTCTGCCGTTCGTTATCCACCTACGCCAGTTCCTCAATCTCCCCAGATAGTCACAGTCTTGTGACCAAGGTCTAAGGATCCGACGCGGCACGGCGCGGGCACTTCAGTGCGGAGACGGCGCTCGGCGATTCAACTCGCGAGACACGTTATCATGTGCACGGTGCACCAGCGTGTTACACGTCTTCCACATGGCATAAAGTCACCTTTCCAGAGAGCATTTATTCAATCGAATGCGATCATGTAGGCTGTTTGAATTTTTGATTCATCTCGATTTTAAACCGTCAGACAGACTGAGACAGTGGTGACTTAAAGCAGCGGAAGGTATCATCGGATATAACCGATTACTCTTTATCTTATCTTCGACCTATATATAGTAACCGACTCGTAAATATACGACGTATAGTCTCCGCTATCTGCCTCGTTGCGTTCCAACTTCCATTGCTTCTGGCTCGAACATTTGCAATTAGCACGGTATTCTCTTTCCCAGACCATCATACTCGCACAATCTCACATATGCAAGACCAGCTCCATCTCTCTGAGGAACTCAAGCAGACCGGCAAGAGGGTCACAGTTACGACAAGGTTTGGCAAGGTCACGGGTGGACGGGCCTTGAACGGAGCAGCAGCGTTCCTCGGTAGTCTCCCACGGCTTTTCAGTATGAGTTGTAAATCTAAATCTCGAAATTTCTGTCTCAGAGGTCCCCTATGCGTTACCCCCCAAGCGATTTGAGAACCCGGTGCCTTTACCGAACAGCTATCAGTATGAGGATAAGGAATATGTCCATGAGAACTCATGTAGGCATAGGAAGTAAAGACTCTTGAGTTGATAACTGATTTACCTCAAGATGGCGTTCAACCTGTAAACGATGGCCAGGCCGAGAGTGAAAATCCAGAGAACAAGCTTGGTCTTGGAAGACCAACAGAGAATCCGTTAGTGAATGTCTCACAGATATCACAGCTTCAGAGCAGGGAAATTGTGGTTATAAAGGCTTTTCTTGAACATCGTCGTGCCCCCTTCGTTCCCCGAGAAGAATGGTTTCCCTGTCAAGATATATATTCATGGCGGGTACGCTCATCCCACCTACGTCAACCCTCTGATTTTTTCGTGATATCATGTTTCGCAGTTACCTCCAATTTGGATCGCCGCATGGCTTAAGTAGCCAAGCGCAATTTGTGGCCGCAGAAAGAGAGGAGATTTATGTAAATCCAGGCTACAGGTTTGTTTATGTGTCTGCCCTAAGATCGCATGGGAAACAACGTTCAAACGTCTCCTTGTATCGGTGACGCAGACTGTCCGCATTTGGTTTCTTAGCCTCAGATGAGCCCGCGATCTCAGGGAATTTTGGCTTCAAGGACCAGTGGCTCGCGCTCGAATGGGTTCGTGACAATATAGCGGCTTTTGGAGGTAATAAAGCAACCTATTGCCCATCGTCTACGCTCATAAATCACCCAA